ACAGAGCTTACTAAGACTTTTATTATATGTTAAATATATGCTGTTTATATTTTTAAAAAATCAAGGTTTCTGTAAAGATGATTCGAGCTGAATTCTAAAAACAAATATAAATTATAAACTCCGAAATATTGAGATAGTCGCATAGTGGTAATTTTTTCATCCAATATTTATTTATTAATAAATAAAAGATTTGAATTATTTACGATTTCGTTCATGAATGAATTATTCACAAGTCTATATATTCGATAATACATGATGAATTTAAAAAGCTTGTATAGTAAAAAAAATCCCACGCATAAACATTTAAATATAAATAAAAAAATATCTTTATGTTTCATATATTCTAGTTACTTTAAAAACTTCTATATTACGAAATGGATAATTTCCTTCCAAATCAAACAATTTGTTGTATGTTTTAGATTTCATTTCAATTTGTTTTGCATTATGCCGGACAACAAGATCTGGGCCTTCACCAAACCAAGGACCATAGTTTTTATTTTGTCCAATCACTTTCCCATTTTCTATAGCACGGGATATCGTTGTATTTTTTAAATTATCACCATTATAGGCAAAAATAAAACTACAATCACTTGATTTATATTTGTTGTCATTAGACCAACCGAGAGGATTATACCCACCAACAATCAACCCGTTTAGATCAAAGAAAGTGATAGTAGAAAATGTTCCATTACATATAGTATGGAACGATGTTACGTTAAAATTACTGCCAAAAAATGTATTATCGAAAATAAGATCAAATCTAAATGAATTCTTTCCTTTATCATTATCAATCCAGGATGAAATTTCCAAGAAATCTTGATAATTCTTTATGATTTGAGATTTTTGATAGTTTCCTAACCTAAACGGTGATTTTTTAATATTTTGTGGATAATTACACATCAATAATCCAATAATATCATCTAATAAATCATCAGAAAATGTGATTTTGGTCCTATATTTTTTTTTAATTTCAAAGAATTCTTCTTTTTTCATCTGATGAAAGCGAATTAAATGAAATAGTG